TTATTCTCAAGTATTTCTCCTGATTTATTTTCTTGTCTATTGTTTTTTCTCAAAATGATAAAATATTATTGTAATTTACTCATATGCATCTATAGACATAGATCTATCTTTATGCTTCATTGATTTTCTTGTCAAGTGTTATAAGAATAAATCTAAGTAATTGACTCAATCATATAATCTATACCATTAATGAAAATTTGAATAATAATAATAAATATTCTAGAATTTTAATTAATTTAAATAAGGATAATAAATAAATATTTCTGATCGAATTGTAAAAGTGAAAGCAGCGCTTTCTATCGACATTATTTCTTTTTTTTTTGTCTCTTTATTCCTATTCGTATAAAAAAAGGAAACCAACAGAATATATTTATTATCTATCTGTCATCAGATGTTAATCTTGTTTATAAAAAGTTGTTTTATCACTGGTCGAAAGCGTTTAACGATGAAAGTCATCTTTATAATATTATTCTTAATCATTATTTATCTATGTTCACACCTTGTCAATTCATCGATATCAGAACGAAACTCAATTAAATTATCATATTTTAAATTATTTAGAGGTACATTCATTTCACTTTCAATTTATTCAAAATTTTTATAAATTTTATAATATTTTAATTCTTTTGTTTTTGTCTTTAATAGAAAAACGAGCAGTCAGTGAAAAAAAACTTGCACCATATAATTCAATATTGGGTGTCGCTTCATCAAATGTAGTTGCTTATTCAAATGGTAATGATAGTTATTATTCAAATGAAGATAGTTATTTATATGGAATATATATGGGATTAAAATGGCAATGTGTTGAATATGCACGTCGATGGTCTTTTTTACGTAAAAGTTCGATATTTGAAAGTGTTAAAGGTGCTAATGATATGTGGAATCAATTAAAATATATTGAAAGAGTTCTTGATAAAGAAAAAATTCCATTAAAAAAACATTCAAATGGTTCTCCAAATCGACCAATAAATGAATCATATTTAATTTATCCAATACAAAAAGATATGCCTTATGGACATGTTGCTATTATTGTTGATGTTTTTAATAATTCAATTAGAATAGCTGAACAAAATTTTTATTTTAATTATTGGAAAATGAATTATTCAAGAGAAATTCCATATAGATTTATAAATAATCTTTATTATATTGAAGATATATATCAGATTTATGGATGGATTGAAATACAGGATCATAAACAATTAAAACCATTA